TGCGGGCGCTGTACGAGCGGAACCAGGCGGACGTGTGAGTGTCGCGCCCCATCCCGGGACGGCGCTGTCCCGGCCATGCCCCCCCGGCCGGCCCGCACCTCTGTATCGTGGGTCATCCTTCTCGTTTTTCCTCTCCTCCAGGTCCGAAGCGAAGTCGGGACGGACGGACCTGATTTTCCTCATCCGGTTTCGGCACTGCTGCCTGCTCCGAAACCAGCGCTGCGTCCTGGCCTACCTGTGAGTGCAGCGGGGGGAGGCGAGGGGGCTGCCGCCGCCCGCCGGGGGCACGGAGCGCCGGTTCATCCCCGCCGGCACAGGGCGCAGCCCCGGAAAGAGTCCCCGAGTGCTGGGCACCTCGGCCCAGGCTTCCGCGAGGTGCGGCGCGTCCCTCTTGTGTCTTCGTTTCTGGTACCACCAAGCGCCAGCACAAAGAGAAGGCCATGTTTCCTCCTGCTCTTTAAAAGTTTTAATTCCTGGATGTGCCAAAAAATCACCTCCTTTGAAGGAAGACGAGTGGAACGACCCAAGTTTTTCCTCTCTGCTTTTAGGAGTCTTGCTGGGGGATATCCCCAGCACTCACCTCAGCAGAGGCGCTGGTTTTGTCTCCTTGTTTCCTCCCCCAGGTACGACCGGTTGCTGCGGATCCGAGCGCTAAGGTGGGAGTACGGCAGCGTCCTGCCAAACACCATCCAGTTTCACATGTCAGCTGAGGAAGTGAGTCAGCCTTGTCTTAAACTCTCTCTTTCCCCCTATTCCTCCTGAGGGATTATCTAGTAGAGTCAAAATAGAGTAGAATTCTCCTTCTTCACTATAAACATGACACTGAAATGTGCCTTTCTGTAAATACTGATTTGTTTATTCACTGTGTATGGATACAGTCCCATATGGATAACGAGTGCAGGTGATGCTTGGTGTTTTTAAGGATCAAGTGGTCACTAGATCAGACTTAGAGCCAGCAGAACTAGGTCTTCACATGCTGCTCTCAAATGCCATCTCTAGATGTACAGAGCTGCTAACATTAGCAGCAAGTGTCCTGAATCCAGATTGCTCTGCCTCTGGGGTAGTTTCTCCCTTTGGAAGAGCTTGCGTTCACCTTGGCTGGCATAAACATGCTTGGGAGCAGTGGTCTGAAAGCACAAATAAACTAGATCTCACTCGTCAGAGACCTGTCTTTCAGCATTAGCTGCTCAGCTTTTCCTGAGGGATCGCTGTTCATGTCTGCAGGTGGAGTGGTTCAATCGGTACAAAAAGTCTCTGGCGACGTACATGAGGTCAGTAGGAGGAGAGGAGGGGCTGGACCTTACACAGGACATAAAACCTCCTAAAAGCCTGTACATTGAGGTAAGTGCAAGATTAGTGGTTTCTGTCTGTGAAAAAACATTTTGCCCAACAATCTTTTTTTTTTCAGAGAATTTCACCCTCGTCCCAAGTCAGAAGGTCATCAAGCAAAGCTTTCCAGAGCACCAAAGCTTCCACCAGCTTCTGCGTTTTACTCTTTACACTCTGCCAGCAGTTTACTCCCTCTTCTACTGAGGGCTCAAAGTATATTGAAAGATGGCATTTCTAGTCCGCGGGGAACTGGTGTGGTGGGGTGAGCAGTCTGAATTCCAGTGAGAAGTTTATGTAGCATTTTGCAGAAACTTAATCAGCTCTCAGATCAACTAGAAACCTTGTTCCCCTGTTAAGGATTGTTAACTGGTTTTCTTTGTTGTGATTTTAAATGGACCCTGATGGATGAGACTATAAATAGTTTTACTCAATTGATACAACAAAGCAAGAGCATGTGAGAAATCGGAGTCAAGTAGCTCAAGTGCTCTGTTCTGATGTTCTCTTCAAAAGAACATGTAGTGACAATCAACCTGCTCCTTAATACAATTTCGCTGTTAACAGACTGGCATTTTCTGGTATGTGTGTGGGGAGGTTCTCCTGGAAATGCTGCTGCTGCTGTTGCCCAGCAGCTGTTCTTGTGCTGCTCCTCCTCTAGTCTCTGTGGAGGGCTGGGCTGATCTGCTTGTTGGTGCTTCTTGCTCAAGGCAGAGGCAGGAAGAGAATGTCAGGTAGAGTCCACAGACCATGGGATCAGTCCAGTTCTGCGGTTCCAGGTCTGCTCTGTATTGAGGCTCAAGCAGGCGGGTAGGAAAGTGCGCATGCTTACAGTTCTGGGGCATGTGTTGTAAGTCAGCAGTGATGTCTAGTGTTTCCTATGGGAGATGTGATCATCTGAGAGCTGCGTTTCCGCTTTGCAGGTGCGGTGTTTAAGAGACTATGGGGAATTTGAAATCGATGATGGTACCACTGTCCTGTTGAAGAAGAATAGCCAGGTACAAGAGAGTGTGATCTGTTGTTCTCTTCCTTCCCTTTCACTCCCACGACATCCCCCTTCTTATCCCACGTTCGCAGCATGTCACAGTTCCTGCACACACGGCTCCTTGCACGTGCTGCAAGCTGTCTGCGTGGCCCAGGACTGTAGCTCAGCTCTGCCTGATCTGGTAACGTGATGCAGGGGGCATACAGCGCAACAAATAGAGCTCGCTCTGCGCAGCAACAAATCCAGTCTGCCTAGGTTTCAAGGAAGGTTTGTCTGTGTTTCTGTGCAGCACTTTCTACCCCGCTGGAAATGCGAGCAGTTAATCAGACAAGGAGTCCTGGAGCACATTATGTTATAAGCACGCAGGACAGAAGGGACACCTTTGCTTGGCGGCCTGCCCACAACAGAGACTGAACTCTGGTGTGTGCAAGACTTCAGACACCTCAGAATTTCTGCAGCCACTCCTTTTAACGGCATTTGATACCTGACACGAAGACCAGCCCTGCGTTTAGAAAGTATGCAAACCACATTGGCCAGCTCTTCCAAGACCAAAGGGTTGCATACTGGAAATGTAATGATCCAGGGAATCCAGCACAGTGGGGGGTGGCACTGGAGGTGCAGGGGTGGGGAGGGGGTATTATCCAAGCCCCACAGCTACAAGAAGGTTTTGTGAATGCGTTTTTGTTTGGAGCAGTTAGTTGTTCACACTGCGCATGTGGGAGTAGGAAACAAATTGGCTGGGCTCTGGAAGCCAGGAGAGCGCCATGGTCGCTAAATAAAGAACTGCTACAGTCTTCAATTTAGTGTTTTTGTTCATTGAACACTCTGACCTGGCTCTCTGGCCCAACCCATCTTGAGGGCTGGGTGATCTGCAGGGTGATGCTCAACTGGTTATTCAGGTGTCTCAGTGCAGCTGCTCCTTGGATTTGACATGAAGCCTTGTCTCCCATGAGAGGCCTATAAATACTGTTTCTTAAGGTGCTGAGTGGATGAGCAGTGCAGTCTGGGTCATGGGCCTGACCAAGGCTTCTCCCAGCACAATTGAGCTGTGCCTCTGTCCCTCTATGAAGAGTCTCCTTCCCCAGAGCACTAGTCTGGCAGGGCCTAGGGACTATTTAGAGTAGGGGTGGGGAAGCGAGCAGAGGATTTTAAGGATTCCAGTTAGGACAGAACAGCTCAAGAGTTGCTCTCCCTGTCTGATTTTCCTAATGGAGCTGCTCACTCTTGAGTAGTGGCCGAGAGATAACACTTCCAAAAACAAGCCCTAGGTAACACTAGAGGTTTGCCTAGCCCCATCTCTGACAGAAGCCAGAAAGCAAATACTTAGGGAAGAATACAGGAACAGGATAAATGCCCAGAGCATTGCTGTATTGCTCTCTCAGCCAAAGCCAAGGAACCTCCCTGAGCTTGCCCACACCCTCTGTGGAGCATCCCTCCTTGTGACAGCCCAGCTTCCCTCATGGCCCTTGTACTCAGGGCTGCCTCCAAGGCAAAGAAAGAGACTCAGCTGTCATCTGCCAAGGCAGAAAAAGCATGCCTAGATCAGTCACAGCCTCCAGCTATCTCCTGGCACTGTCCCAGGGCTGAGGAACCCCTCTGCCCTGGCAGGCTGGGACTTAAAGGCAGTGGCTGAGTTTTAGCTCACAGTCAATAGATCCACTTTTGTTCTTGAACCAACAACAGCCTGAGCTATTTTTAAGCCCTCTTCTTTGTATTGACTTTGTCTGGCCTCTGCTTTGCTACCCTGACCCACTCAGGCTTGTCTAGTCTCTTGTACAGTACTCTCCATAGCCCTCAAAATTCTATGAGTCCTTTCACAGCTAGTGGCAACCAGAGTCCCCACACAAATACCCTCTGCTCTGCACAGAGCAAGGCACGAGCACCATGACAATGATGCATCCTCCATGCAGAGGGTAACGCCCTGGGCAGGTCAATAAATTTAGTGTTTGCTATGTGAATGCTTAGCTTTGTGGCCTTTTATACAACTTACTTTGGCAAGAGCAGTACTCATTGCCAGTGTGTGAAGGCCAACAAGGAAGGCAAGATGATGCAGTTCACTTACCATGTCTTCTGGTCTCCTCTGAAGAAGTGCAGTGCTGAGTAGGGGTCACCAACCCTGCCCCAAGCCTTGGAGGCTCGAATTGGAAGAAGGCTCTTCCCTCAGCCCCTCTGTCGGGCTCACTGAAGAGGCAATAATCTGGCAACAGGTTTGTTTGGATCCTAGGCTCAGGCTTTAGGAGGGCCAGAGCCTCCTAGAGCCCAAGAGGAGCTGTAGGGAATAAAAGTTCAGCAACAGTTGGGGGAGGCTACTGAAATACAAAGCAGACTGGAGATGGCAGGAGGTGCTGTAATACTGCAAACATTTTAATGCCACAACACAGCTTTCCTGCTCAGGTGAGCCAGATGCAGGAACCTGCAAGCCCTCCTGCCCTGGCTTTCCAGTCATAATAGTACAGCCCAAACAGCAACCCTCTGCAGAGAGGGAGCATCCACACCACCACCAAACATGTTGCCAGAGTGCAGGCAGCTCCAGTGGGATGGCTGCCCTGGGACAGACCTGACTTACAACAGCACGCTGCCACTGAGAAAGGCACCAAAGCTGGTGCTTTCAGTAGGAAAATTCAGCTGTCCACAGGACCAACTCGTTTCTCTGTTTTCCACTTTCTACCCAGGAAAATCCTGGCAAGACAGGGATGACAAGGCTGATTTCCCAACCCAGCCATACCTCCCCTTCTGCACCTGACAAACCCCAGCCAGGACCAGAGGCAGGGCTGCCACAGCAGGCACCCCATCACCCATTCAGAGACACCGGTGTGATTTTTCCGATGAGCTGCTTCAGAGCTGAGGCTTGCACCTCCAACAGCTGGTTCTTCTCCTCAGTGCTTTTCTGCTTCAGCTCAGCTGCCTGCAGGGCCATTGCAAAGCCTCTGTTCTCCTCATGGAGTTCTTCGATCCACAGTTCGTTCCTGGAGAGTTGGGCCTGCAGCAGGGACAGGAGGCTTAGGGTTCATCATCCCCATGCAGGAGTCCCAGCCAGGCAGCGACACGCAGCACTAACCCCTCTTGCACTCGCTTGGGTGTCTTTAAGGTGAGCTGCCTTTTCTGCCAGCACAGCTTTGGCACTCCTCAGGCTGTGCTCCAGCCCCTCTGCCTGCTCCACAGCTGCCTGCAGCAGATGCTCGTGTTCCTCCTGCAGTGGACAACTAAGTCTGATGTTGGGTTGTCCCAGCACTCGCCTGATCCCTGGCAATCCTGGACCATGCACTTCCCCAGGGTCCTGCTCACAGACCTTCACACTCCCTGAAGGAGCCGGGGGAGCATGGGGGGATTGGTGGAGACAGTCCAGCATACAAAGAGCAGTGGGACAAGTGTCTGGAGCAGTACAACCTTCCCTAGATCAGCACCAACCAGCGTTAAGACAAGGCACAGCTTTCCCAGCAATGTTTTCTCTAAAAACAAGCTAATGGCCTCCCCTCTTTCAGCTATGTCCAGAAAAGCCCAAGGAGAGACATAGTTTCCTTGGATGCAGTTGTTGGGTCTGCTCATTTTAATTCCTTAGGTTATAATTTGCTGCATCTTTGCCCAGGTTAGTTTAATTGAATCAGTGTCCTGAAACAAAAGACAAACTCACCAAAACCCAACACCTTGTTACTCAGTGCCCTAGAAATAAAATCACCCTAGAAATAAAACCACCCTGCTCTGTGCAGCCTACATCTCCACATAGAGGGCTCAAACTTTCTTTCCCCAGCCTGAGCCAACACAGAGTATCTCCCTCTAGGTATGAGGTATTTGGTCTGGGGTAGGTGGATTAGAGCAGGGAGGGGTCCTGTTTGAGTGCAGGGCAGCGACTGGGATCATGAGGAATGAAAATTGCAGCTGAATTTGAAGTTCAAGTGCATTTTCCATGTGGGCTCAATATATAGCATCTTCCACTCAAACGCCTGGTGCCTTCCACCACAGCTGTCTTCCAGGCTGGCAGTCCTCTCTCCCCAGTACCCTTGACTGAGCTCCTGCAATCCCCTGCTTACCTGGGTCCTGATCAGCTGCCTGCAGGTCTGCTCAGCCTGCCGGTGAACGTTTTCCTGGAGCTGCTGCACCTTGCACTGTTCCTCTCTCAAGCTGGTTTGCAGCTGCTCAAACTGTTCCTTTGGCACCATGTTCTTCATCTGAGCCTTGGCCTGCTGCAACTCCAGAGCGTGCCTAGTCTGGGCCAGCCTCAGGCTTGCTTTGGCTTCTAAGAGCTGTAACACAGAAAGGCCGATAGCTGGTTACAGCTTTGTGCTAGCAATGGGACAGGCCCAGGGTGTGCTGCAGGTGAGGAGAGAGGTTAGGAAGCATGCTCAGCCCCCGCCTCGGCTCTCATGCCAGCATGGCCACAGCAGAGCAGCAGGACTATGGAAGTGGTGCTTGCTGGGCAGCCTACAAAGCCGGGGATGGAGATCACTGAGAGCTCCAGGAGAAACAGGGACCTATTGCAGAGAGATGCTCCCCTTGCTGAGCAGCTAGGAGCAGGAGTTGCTGCAGGGATCCTCTAGCAGGAAGTCCTAGCACCAAGGGCCCCAATGGCAGGAGGCAGAGGGGGCTGCTCACCTGCATTTGTTCTTAGATACATCCCAAGCAAGCTGGGCTTCAATCTCTGCCTGTACTACATGTCCCCTGCTTCCTGCTACCAGCAAAGGGCCAACCTGGTACTGGGAAACAGGTCTGCTTTGCCCTAGGGCTACCTAGGTGTGGCTGGCATGAGCAAGCTGTACGCCCTGGAGCCTGTCCCCAAGGCAGAAGGCAGGAGAGGGATATTAACACATTTGGCAGTTTCTCACATTGGCTTTCCTCTACCCTAGTGGTCCTTGTTCCTCAGCTCTGAGCACTTCATTTCCCTCCCCTCAGACATGGCCTGCCTAGCCCCTGTTATCCCTGCCCAGCCCCTACCTGATCCTGCCACTCCTCTAGCTCCTCTGTCAGCTGAGCCATGGCGAACCACAGCTCCAGGCACTCCTGTGTGAGTAACTCCACTCGGCCTCCACCTCCTCTGCCCAGCCAGTCTGCACAGGACAAGGACAGAGGGGATACCACAGGGGCAGCTGTAAGCAAGGACCTGTCCCAAACTGCACCTGAACTGGCTTCAGACATATCTGAGTGGCAGGGTGAGTCCTCTGTCCTCCACAAAGAGGACGAGGATGGTCTTTTCTGCCTGGGCAGGGTGTCCAATACAGCCTCAAGCAGGACAGTACCAACATCACAGGGACTACTCAGCAGCCTGCCACCCTACCACCAACCGAATGACACCTACCTTCTCCTGGGAGGCCCTGAGCTGCTGCCGGAGCAGCTCCATCTCCATCCAACATGCTGCATGCTGCTGGTGGTGCTCCAGCCTCGTGGCCACCTCTGCTCCCTGTAGCCACCCAGTCTCCACAAGCCTCTGGCTCCACAGGTGGACAGTGCTAGGGCCAGCGCTGTGGCCAGCCTTGTGCTCAGTGAGTTCATGGCCCAGCTGACCCTTCTTGACATTTGGGTGGGAGACCTCGCCCTTGCTCTTCTCACTCTGGAAAAGGTTGGA